GCTTCTTTCACAGAGGAGTTAGAAGGACGATAGCCTGGAGTAGCCTCCAGATAGGTTACCACAACATAGAGAAAGTTGTGGACATAGGAGAGAATGAGATGGCATCAGAGAAGTTCAGGAATGGGAAAAAAGAGACACCCACAGGCCAGTAATATATATTCAGAAAAATCACACACTATGTCAGCTTGATGAATTTTTATAAACTGAACACCTGTGTAAAACAGGACTCAGGTCAAAAACCTTCACGCTCTGAAGGTGACCACTGTATGAGGCACAGTATCTTAATCGGTAAGAAAACAGGTTTTGGGGCCGGCCCGGTGGCGCACTGGAGAGTGCGCCGCTTGGGAGCACAGTGGCGCTCCCGCCGAGGGTTCGGATCCCATGTGGTGACCGGTTCCCGCTCACTGGCTGAGTGCGGTGTGGGCGCAACACCGAGGGTTGCAATCCTGTTGCCGGTCCCCGGTATGGGCGCGACACCGAAGGTTGCGATCCCATTACCAGTCAGTAAAAAAGACAAAAAGGAAAAAGAAAACAGGTTTTGGATTTTGGAAAGCAGATGTTTGAATCTTTGTTCTTGAAAGTCTGTATGATTTTGGATAAGTTGCCTAACTTCTCTGAGTTTCACTTTCTTCATGTATATAAAGGATGATAATACCATCTTTTATATTTATTTGGATTACTAATTGATGAGAATTGATTGATGATTTATGTAAAGTGTTATCCTAGTGCTCCACACAGGGTATGCCTTTAAAGAGAGTTATTTTTATTATTATTATTGTTCCATATTCCCCTAACGTAATAGAGGAATTGCTCCCCTCAACTTATTGGAATACTTTTTTCATGAATTTTAAAGATTCTCGTGAAGCTAAAAAGATACTTGTAAATGAAAAACATAAAATGTCAGACTTCTGATATCCAGTATTAGAACAGTGGGTATTTTATCGGGGTTTGTTGTTAAACATTCATACAGCAAAGTCATGATTAAGTGGCATTTATAAAGTTCGATTTTGCTTGCTTCAGTCATTGGTCATGTTTTCCACCTTTTCCTTTTTAATGTCACTTACTCACCAAAAATAAGACTTGTCCTAACAGAAATAGATTGGTTAGTTTAGTTGCTGTAGTATTTGCCTATTTACTTAAGATTTTTCTTTCTCATTTTTGTCATGAAGTTCTTAATTTTCTACCCACACTCTCTTTCCAGTTTAGGTATCTCTAGCATACATAATTTGGGTCTTAGTTTTTACTTGTTTACAAGGGAAAAAGAAACTGTCCTATGCCGTAGTCAAGAGTTTGACTTTAGAAATCATCTAGTTCCTGTTAAACTTTTTGCTTTATAGATACGAAACCTGATGCCCATAAAGGCTAATAATTTGATCATAGTCATGAATTAGTGATAAAACCAAAACTAAGGTCTGCTGACTTTCAGGCCACTGTTCCTTCTGACTAATCAGGCCACTGTTCTCCTGTAATAAAGCTCCTTTGAAAAAGAGACTAAAGAGACTTTTATATAACTCGTTTGAGTTTTTTAAAGGTGACTTCTGATGTGAGGGTCTTTGCAGAGGTATACATTTTTTAAAAAAAGATATGGTTAATATTATTTATGCATATGAGTGGATTTAACAACAACAGTGATGATGATGATGATGTTAGAATACCACCATACATTTAAATAATATTTTTTTTAAAGTGCTCCTATGTATATATATCATGGTTTGATTTATTGTGATAATGAAATAGATGAACTCAAAGTTTATATTAAGATATTATAAGAAGTCTTATTAGTTTCCTAGGGTTTTCATAACAAATGACCTCAAACTGGGTGACTTAATAGAAATTTATTTTTCCGTAGTTCATGGGGCCAGCAGTCCAAAATCAGGGTGTCAGCAAGGTTGGTTCCTTCTGGAGAGAGGCACTGAGGGAAAAAATGTCCCATGCCTTCTCTTAGCTTCTGGTAAACAATCCTTGGTGTTCCTTGGCTTGTAGATATATCATTCCAATCTCTGTCTCCATCTTCACATTGCCTTCTTCATTCTGTTTCTGTGTCTTCTCTTCTTATAAGGACAGCAGTCAGTGGAATTAGGGCCCACCTAAGTTAAGATCTCACCTTGAGATCCTTAACTAATTACATCTGCAAAGACCCTATTTCCAAATAAGGTAACATTCTGAGGTTCTGGCTGACATGTATTTTTGTGGGACACTATTCAACCTACTACAGAAATATATCTAAAGCATGTTGTTGGTTTTAATGGATTCCATTTGGAGATAATGTAGCTTTATTTCCTTCTTTGAAGCTGCATCTTAGACTACCAGTATAGAACTAAATAAAAGAAGACCAGGATCCTAAATATTTTCCTCAGTTTCTTAAAAGTTAAGATTGTCAGTCCCTTAGCTCCTCCTATATGAAGTATTAAGGAATAAGTTTGTGCAGAATTAGGCAGTTTTCTGCTTCCAGTTCTTAATAAATTCATAGATATTTGTGTTCTTTAATTCAGCTATTATGAGGTTTCCTGTCTTATTTATTGTAAATAATAATAACATCCTTTCACTTTTTAAAAAGTGCACTTAAGTTAAACCAGAGTGTATATTTGTCAATGTTCTAGTCTTGGAGGGTTGTCAAATCTACTTTGTGGTAGATTGTTGACTGTCTCTTAAAATGCTGATTGTTTCCATTAGGCCCCAAAAATATTGTATATAAATGTATACACTTAAATATTAATCATTTTATTAGTCATAAAATTGTAGCAGTTGAGTCCAAATATGAAATTTTAAAAATTCAAATTCATATTGAAATCAAATGTATGAGAATGTATTTTTTTCTGTAATTGCTATAGGCTATTGAAAAACCATTATTTTCCTTGATGCTACAGGATTTTATATTTGTGGCTAATTATATACAACAGACTATGTACTGGAGGACATATTTGGCTTTCCTGAGTGATCCTAGGTTGGCTGATTTTATTTTTAGTTACTAACCATGGGTGAGTTAACTTTCCTAAGTCTTAGTTTTGTTTTTTGTTTTTTTTTTTTTGTCTTTTGTCTTTTTCCGTGTCCGGCAACGGATCGCAACCCTCAGTGTTGCCCCCGTACCGGACCGGGGACCGGCAACGGGATCGCAACCCTCGGCGTTGCTCCCGCGCCTCGCTCAACCAGTGAGCGGGAACCGGTCTGTATGTGGGATCCGAACCCTCGGGCGGGAGCGCCGCCGCGCTTCCCAAGCAGCGCACTATCCAGTGCGCCACCGGGCCAGCCCTAAGTCTTAGTTTTTTTTATCTATAATATTGGGTGAGAATCCTTTTAAGATTATTATGATGATTAAATGAGATAACATGTGAACAACAAGTACAGTGCTTGGTGTACAGTAGGTATTCAATAAATATTGCTATAGCAATTTCTCTGCCTTTTCTGTTCACTTTTGCCAAATATGGACTGTTGTTATTAATATATATTTAGTTAATTAAAGCTTTTGGTTAATTATTCTTTTAGATTGACAATTTCTGTATCTGTTAAAATGGAAAAACACCATTAGATGAAGTAGTCAAGTTCCTTTCGTATTCTTGAGAATTCTGTATTTGCATTTAATTACTCTCTCCCTTATTCTTTGCTTTAATTTTAGCATAAAATAGTTTTTTCCTCAGCATATGTCATTCTTTATCCAAGATCATTTGAAGTACTTCGTTTTAATGGTAAAGAGAGGTGTTTTAGGAAGGAACAAAACAAATGATGCATTGAAAAGTAATAGAATAGATAAATAGATGGGTAGATATAGTTTAAGTTTGCTTCCACCTAATTTGCATGGTAATTTTGAAGAATGCACTGTACTATATTTGGTAAGTTTTCTGGGTATCTTTCTTTAAATGAACAAACTTTTTTTTTTTTTTTTTATAGATGACCGGTAAGGGGATCTCAACCCTTGGCTTGGTGTTGTCAGCACCACGCTCAGCCAGTGAGCAAACCGGCCATCCCTATATAGGATCTGAACCCGTGACCTTGGTGTTATCAGCACCGCACTCTACCGAGTGAGCCACGGGCCGGCCTAAATGAACAAACTTTAAAAAAAATTTTTTTTTGACTCTTTCCAAAAGTATTTTGGCACTGCAGATGGGACAGAAATGACCATTTTCTAATATTTTCTTGGTTCATGTGTGTTATTGTCTATTATTTATGGCTTTAGTCTATAACACTTTATGATTTATCTGATCTCCTTTGTTATGAATTTTCAATTCTATAGCCTTATCCTAATTTATTGTTTAATCAGTTAGTAGAAATGTAGGTATATGAATTACATTGCTGTAAAGTAAAACCTGAGAGAAAGCTTCTTCCTGGGTAAAAATTCAAGTACTCCAATGAAATTATTTTGTTGACAGCTTTACAGGGTTTCAATGATTCAGAAACCCGCATTTCTTTTCTTTTCTTTTCTTTTTTTTGCCTGAGGCTATCACTGTTAGAGATTACTTTGTGCTACAATCTAACTTACTAAAGAATCAGAAATGTGGAGAGGGAAAGTTACCTTAGAAATTAACCTTTCTAGTATTTTTACAGATGAGAAAACTAAGACGTTGAGAAGTAAAGGAACTCAAGGTCTTGTTTTTTTTTTTTTTTTTTTTTTTTTTGGTTAACCTAGGCTAGAGATCTTGTCAATTGTATTATGAATTATAGAATTTCACTTTTTGAACTAGCAGTAGCAGTATTTAATAGAAATAGATTCAACTCTTGTTGATAAAGAAAGTGGAAAAATAGAAAAAATACCTTGCACTGTTCCCTAGCAATATCCTTATGGGCTACAACACAGTAATGTTTACATACTCCAATCGGGTCTATATACCGTACTTCTGAGAATAAAAGTATTGGGTTCACAGAAACAATATCAGTAGAAAATTCTTTATTTTTAAGGTTTTCGAGACATCTTTTTACCATGTTCAGTCACTATAAATACATAAATATCCAAATGCTTAGTATTTATTTTATATTTGTTCTCTTTAGAAGTTGAGTATTTTCAGTGTTATATCTTAATGCCACTGGTGATAGACAGTAGTTCCCTTCAGTTCAAATCCTGTGCCCTTATTTGCTGCTTGCTGATGTAAGCAATAATAAGTAACCCTCTAACTAATGGTATCTACACATTTATGTAACTTGTATTTAATGATGGTGTATCTGGTGACTGTAAAAACATTAGACAGATATAAAAGTATCTATATATTATATAGCAACTGTTAATTCTGAGGTATATAGTCAGTGAATCATGTGTTTTGTACTTTTATTCATTGTGTAATTTAGTGGTGGTGAAAGTTCTATACTCAATCCTTAAAGAGTGGCAGTATCCCCTTTTCACGTTAACCATCTGCATCAATTTGTTTGCCTGCTAAACAAATTTTGTTAGAATAGGAAATAGTAAAACAAATATAAACAAGAAAGTGTAGTATTGGTTAGGGAAACAGACTTCGAGTCGCCAGCCGAAGTCATTACAAACTCCTTGAACATTCACTGTGATTTTCTAAGGGAGTCAGTCCCTAATTTAAAGGTTTCCTTTGATCACTTTCTAGGTGTGTAAAAGGTTTCCTTTGATCACTTCCTAGGTGTGTACTTTTAAGGGATATCTGGAGTTAGGCAGCCTTACAGAACCAAACACTGGGGTTATTAATTCCACTTAGGTGTACTAAAGAGGATGGGTAGAAACATACATGTATATATCTTTTCTTTACCTAGAAGTGCCATCCACTGTCCTTGAATTAATATGATTAAAATCACTTGCACTTAACTAGAGGCTCCTTGAAAGTAACACCTTTTCCAAGGACAATGTCAGCCATGTCAATGTCAACACTGAGTCTGATTCTGACCACATTTATAGTGGCATAGTGTCAACACTGCATTTTCATGACAACCACACTCCATTATTGGAACACTGTGCCAGTAAGAAATGCAACATGCGATGGGCAGGTGAAAATCATGCATAAAGAAGTTCAGTGTTTACAGATAAAACTGCTGTGGTTCAAGTACTTCTGTCCCCAACAAAGGCTTGCTATGGCTTTGTGAGAAAATGATCTAAATTATTTTAATTTTTAAATCTCATTTGTTCACTCAGTGAGCACTCTCACCTAAGCAAGGCCATAAAATGGGATACTATAGTTTTGTTCACACCTTAATTTGGGACAATTTTTCTTTGGATCATAAATTAGGAAACCATTTTTTTTCAACCTTTGAAAATCATGTGATGTTAGAGGACAAATACCCACTCTTCTGTTCTGACCTGTAAATAGCTTAAGCATCTTTTTAAAAACAATAATACTGCCCGTATTACAACACAACTATTTTCCAGAAAAATAGTACTTTGTTGAAAAATAATTTCTTCCTCTAGCAGCATTTATCTTCTATTTCGAAGACTATTTATTGTACTAATAGAAGATATGAAATAGGATAGAGAACTCCAGACTGAGACAGTAGTTGTTTCTGAAAAGGAAATACTCTAATAAACTTTGATGTATTAGATAATCCACAGAACATCATTGTAAACTCCTAATCCAGGTGCTCTTTGGTGAGAGACAGGCTTTGTTCTCTTGTTCATGACATTTCTCTGCAAAGAATTCTCTATCGAGTGAAGCAAATGAAGTGAATCATTTCTTACCAAGTAAATTTATCACTTTACAAACCTGCTCTACAGCTCACTTTTGAGTTCAGTTGTAATCATAAGTGATCCTTCATATTTTATTGATGAAAACTGTTCATTCAGATAAGGAGTATGAAACCTAGCAATTAAAAAAAAAAAAAAAAAAGGAAGTTGAGTATTTGATAATAGATTTTTAATTTTTGTTTTGCAGATACCTTGGTATATCTGAACTAGGCATTTCTACATAGTATATAACTTTGAAATGCTGCAGTTATTTGCTTATGACTTTTTTTTTTTTTTTAAATAAATGGAATGGTTGTTTCATTTAAAGGAAGCACTCATTTGCCGACAGCAATTGCCAGGTACAGTGCCTAAAAATTAAAGTGGTTGTTTACACAGGTATGAGGAGATCCAAGAAACGATGTCATTTGAACAGAGGTGAAGTTCTTTAATGAATAAAGCTTCTTATACCTGTGGGGTGTTGGAAAGACAAATATTTTATGACATACTGTTAAACTAGTCTCTAACCTCTTTCATTCTCTGGTGAATAGATTTGAAATAGAGATGTTAGTCAAGGATATAATGTTTTCCAGTTATATTCCAAATATCTTGCAGTCAGTTTATTTTTAACCATGGTAACAGACATTGTGGTGAAATTAATTTATAGATTACCATTGGCAGCCTAAAATTAGGCAAATGTACCAGCCTTGAAAGGCTTGAGAGTAACTAAAACATAGTTGTTAATCTGCTGTTTGTTTATAGTTCCACAAAGAATGACATTTATAAATGCTGCTTAACAGGGTAACTTAGAAGCTAAATTGCTCTTTGCCAAATGGCCCGTAGAGTTTATTCAAATAAAAGCTGTTGATTCAGAACCAAGAACTGATTCACAGAGAATAAAATGCTGGAAAAGGTATACAATCTAGAAGTTTCCCATTTGAACTTTTGCCCAGTATTAATATCCTTATTAGGATATATTTTAGCTAGTCATTTTAAGGGATATCTTGCTTTAGTTTGCTTTCTGTTTTTGGTGTCTTTTCACCCAACTTCTTTTGATGGGATTAGAATTTCAGATGAAGAGGTCTGGTTTACCTGGTTTGTGGAGAAGGGGGCTAATACAATCTCTAAAAAGGTAAAAGACAGGATATTAAGAGCAAGTTAGTAAGGTGGCCTTATTTAAATTTAATTCTTTTAGAGCTTTGAGTTATCAGAGGATGAGGTCTTATTTTTCTAATCTCAAAATGGTGGGCAGCAGGATATATTTTTAATTACTGCTTTTTTGTCTGCTGTGACACTTTGTTATGTGGTTTATTTTATTTACTGGTAGAAAACTAAGGGGAAAAATTACTAGGTGGAGCCGTATTACATTGACTTTATATAGGGAAAATTCAATACATTCCATTTTACCAGTACAGTTTGATTTTTAGGATTAAAGACTTTTATTACCAAGACTTTCTCTCTTTCCCTCACCCCCCAAAATAATGTCCTGGTAGGATTTGGACCCATCTACACTTAAGTAACATTTATGATTGGCCTCCTATGTATTAGACTTTGAGTTCTTATCTTCAGGAAACTCTGCATCATGGGTGAAGCAAATGTAAATAAATAACTATTATACTTTATGGTAAGTGCTACAATAGAATTTCCTTTAAAGTGCTGTAGGAATTTACATAAAGTTCCCTCTAAATCATGATTCTGTTACTGCCTTTATCTCCTAAATATTTCTCAAATCTGCCATGGTCTCCTTTCCTTCATTGTTCCTTCATTGTTCCTTTATTGTTCCTTCATTCTTGTTCCAGTAAGTATTTTCTTTTCATACCCACCAGAGTGATTTATCTTAAACAGAAATTTGACCTTGTCACTTGCCTATTTAATACTCTTCAAAGGCTTTTTCTTACATGTGTTATAAACTGCAAATTTCTTCACAATGACTTTAAGGATTTTTCTAATCTAACTCCGAATAGTTTTATAGCCTCATTGCTTACCCCTTTCAGCCTTCAACTATTCTTACCTTCTAATACCATCCCTCCAACAATTAAAACTACTTGAAGTCTCCACATGCTGCTTTTTTACCTTAGTGTTTAGACTGCCCACTTCTGCTTTTTTTTTTTTTTTCCCCCTAACTTGCTCTTGTTGGCCCTTAAAACTAAAAGCTAGTCTTTTCCCCTCAAGGACATCTTTCATAATCCCTGGGAGACTGGATTAGTGTCTCTTGCTAGTGCTCCTGTGGAAAAGTTGTGTGTGCTATTTTCATGGCAATAGTATAGTGCTTTCTTCTCTCCTTGATTCTTTCTCTTTTTACAAGTTTAAATAGTAATGTGGTAGTTATGTAGCAACCTCCAAAGGTCAACACTGTGTTGTGTGTTTTTAATTTTCATTATGAACTTTGTCTTTAAAGATATTTGATGTGTTTCCACCTTTTGGAGTTTTTGTTCTTAATGATGTCCTCAATGATTGTTCTATCTTGCCAATAGGAACTTATTCAGGTTGGCTTCCGAGTCTCTTTGATGTGACATTAGCAGTATTTGACTGTATTCTTTGAGGAAACAAATTTGAAATGGGACCAATCCATTTTGCATAGGAACAGGGACAGAAAAAGCTACAGAGAGACCTTGATCCTTTCTTAACATCCTAGATATTAATATCCTGAGATGTTTAGGGTATAGATAAAAGCTAAATTCATTCTGCTCCATTTAACAACAATTACTTGGGACTCTCTTTTATAATATCAGTTATTCTTCTGTCTTTGTGTTAAAATGGTATTTTGTTGATTCTAGTTCTTATCACAGCCTGACTTGAAGTATAATTAATCTCCCCTGCTAATCCATGAGGGTAAGAATTGTTGTCTTTCTGTCTCCATTATTTCAGGGATTTACCTTGATAAATGTTTGCTTCTTTGATAACAGTGCTGTCAGGAGGCAATATTTATATTAAACTTTTAGTGTATGTAGTTCTTCATTCCTAAATTGAATACTTTTTTTTTTTTTTTGTCTTTTGTCTTTTTCCGTGTCCGGCAACGGATCGCACCCCTCAGTGTTGCCCCCGTACCGGACCGGGGACCGGCAACGGGATTGCAACCCTCAGTGTCACTCCCGCGCCTCGCTCAGCCAGTGAGCGGGAACCGGTCTGTATGTGGGATCCGAACCCTCGGGCAGGAGCGCCGCTGCGCTTCCCAAGCGGCGCACTTATCCAGTGCGCCACCGGGCCGGCCCTAAATTGAATACTTTTTTTTTTTTTTGTCTTTTGTCTTTTTCCGTGTCCGGCAACGGATCGCACCCCTCAGTGTTGCCCCCGTACCGGACCGGGGACCGGCAACGGGATTGCAACCCTCAGTGTCACTCCCGCGCCTCGCTCAGCCAGTGAGCGGGAACCGGTCTGTATGTGGGATCCGAACCCTCGGGCAGGAGCGCCGCTGCGCTTCCCAAGCGGCGCACTTATCCAGTGCGCCACCGGGCCGGCCCTAAATTGAATACTTTTAATGTGCCATGCACCAAGCTAGGCACTTATTTAAAATGACTTAATTTAATTTGTTGAGCAATCAAATCTGTGAAATAGTCTCTGGGCTGAATATTCATTACGTTAAGTATGAAACATAATTCTTTAGCCATCGCAACATTTCCCAGAGTGTGTTCTGTATGATGCCAGTTAAGTGTTAGTGGAATAAAGGGATTTTGTGGTCAGATCATCATGGGAAATACTGAGTGAGACAAAGGTAAACAAGTTTTATGATTACAGTATTTCACAATGCAAATAATGTGCAGTGCAATCCACTGTCTAAGAGGAGGATAGGGAAAACATCATTTTTCAAATTATTTAACTTAAGTTTTCCCCTGAGTATACATAGAACATACTTAGGAAAATGCTGGCCTATAGATAACAAGCTACATAAAAGAGTATGGTGAGTGGAAAAGGCATGAAGTTGAAAGTCAGAACTTGGGTTTCTGCCTCCAAATACTAGTTGTAAAACCTCCTGACATCTCTCTTAAAGTCTCATTGTCTCATCAGTAAAAGAAGTTAATACTGGTCTGTGTAGTGTAAGATTGCAAATCTTTTACAGTGTACTTGACAAAGGTTAGTACGATAGCTCAGTCTTATCTAGATAAATGGTTCATTATAAATTTAACAAATATTGTAAGTGAATATTTTATTTCTTCATCTACATAGTTTTCCTTAATCCTACATAGTGAAGATTAAAGGTGTAGCTACTGTGGGCCTACCTATTCTTAGTAGCAATTCTAGAACCACCTGGTCTCTTGTAATTACAGCAAACCTTTTCTTGACCAATGATGACAATAGTCCAGGTTCCTTAGATTCTAATTCTGGATGATCTAGACTAAGTATGCAGGAGCAATTTATCTTAACTTTTTCTCCATTTTAATTTTACTGTACATAAGTAATTGGAATGAAGCCAAACAAGTTTTGAATAATGCATTATTTGGTTCATGGTCTCATTTTTAAATATCAAATGAATGAGCAGCAATAATATGTTAGGTATTTTTAAAAATACAAAGATATTGGGCCAGCCCTGTAGCTCACTTGGGAGAGTGTGGTGCTGGTAGCGCCGAGGCCGCGGGTTCAGATCCCATATAGGGATGGCCCGTGCACGCTCACTGACTGAGCGTGGTGCAGACC